ACTTCCAACCCAGAATCCCACTCGCACCTTTCCCTTGTGGATGTTATTACAGTGACCTTCAATATGGCGGTGACGATGAAGATTGTGGTTCTTCCCGGTTCTCAGGTGGAACGCACCGTCAATGGGGCCAGGAGAGCTGCATTCGGCGCCATTGAAGGTGAAATACCAACGACTACAGCAGTTGTCACAGAATGCAACCCTGAGGTCACCAGCAAAGTAAACATGAAGGGCAGTGTCTGTGAAGTTCTTCATAAAATCACAGTTCTAAAGAGATCATTAATCAAATTAATCTGAAACTAGCAAATAACTTCCAACAATGAAGGGGCGAGAAACAAGTGGGACTTAATCATTAACATCACTGCAATTTTTAAAAATGCGTTGAACCAAGAGATTATCAAGGTAAGAGAGCTCATTATATCTCTCTGTTAGTACGCGCGCTGTGATTGGTCAGTTTAGCGGCACGTTTTCTCCTGTACGGCCTACTAAAATTCAAAGTTGTTTTTATTGCCAATCTATTTCGTGTTTTATCGCCAAGTGTTCTTAAGTGTTATAGCAAGTAAAAGTTTAAAATTTTCTTTTACTCTAAATTGTGTATTGAGGTGGCTCAAAACATTTTCCAGCAGTTAGATTTTGATGAGTTATTATAACCACTCTTTATCACTTGATGCTTCAGTCATAATATCAAAAAGCTGCCCAATCATTGGTGAAAACTTTGATACCATTTTCGTGACACCATAGGTTACCATAGTTCAAAAACGGCACAGTGAAATTTTTTTCATATTACTAAGTTTTAATAAGGCAAAGTTTTAAAAAAATCTGTACATAGGGTTCAGAGCCCCTTTGAGTTTTGAAAATTTAAGGTGGCTCTGAACCCTATGTGCAGACTTTTTTAATTTTTTTTTTTAAATAATAATAATACTCCTCGAAATTATCAATAAATTACTTCCCCTCCAGTTACGATCGTTACCCTTCCGAGAGAGAAGAAGGCTGAAGAACTAAAAAGATTTTGCAAAATCAAAGTACCCGGCTTATGACCTTCTCGTCAATAAAATGTTATCTCAAAGTAATAATAATGTCTTCTCTTGAGAAGACGGAAGTAAATAACAGAACTTTGTTGAATACATTATACACTCATACTGTAAATCACTTGCCTGGATCACACCTGAGTCTTTGACATCGTTCCTTTTCCAGGTGCATTCTTTCCAGTTCATGTGCCTGGAAAGCTGAAGTGATCCTGGAGTTTCACTCTCACCTTTCTCCCCTCGCTGTCCTTTTTGGCCGACGGCGCCATGGGTTCCAGTCTCTCCCTTATCTCCTTTCTTTCCATCTGCGCCGGTTGGTCCCTTAGGTCCAGTCTTTCCCGGACTGCCCTGGTCTCCTTTGGCTCCGTCGCGTCCATCACGGCCAGGTGCCCCAGGGGACCCTGGCATGCCATGCATACCGGGGATACCATTTGTACCTGGTTGTCCACCGTGACACATTGAGACCTGTGTCAGAAGAAAGATCAACACCTTAAATTCTGTGAAGGTGCAAGCGATAATAAAGTGACAGGAAGCGTCTTGATGTAACTCTTCGTCAATCTAGCTGGAAACTACTTCAACAGCGATGATGTTTATCAGCGATGATATCATCTGTACTATTCTTCTTTTCTTTCTTTTTCTCTTTACTTTAACTCACACACCATACATGGAGCTACTCACTTTGTTATCACTTGGTTTGCTGTTGACATTATTGGCGGTCGCAGAAGCCAGGGTTATCAGCACAAAAATCAGTAGAAACAACATGATAGGCGGTTTCTCTATACGGAGTTCTCTTTAATATGGTCTAGCCTGTAGAGACAAATTTCAGAAGAGTAAAACAAGAATGTTCGTGGTGACACTTACAGTACCTTATAGAAATCTTTGAGAACTGAGTCACTGTATTTCTACATTTTCATTAATTTTGCTAGTTCTACAGCAAGATCACTGCTTGAAAAATAGCTTAGAAATGTTTTTATTCTCCTTGAGGTTATGGAAATGAATGGAGTTCTTGATGTGATCGCTAATAACAAAATAAAATAACACTGTGACATTTACATTTATACTATTGGTTTTTATACCATTAGAGGTGCTGAGTACTATAGCTAGTGGCTGTCGAGGGCTGCTATAGCTGTTATGAAAGCTTACTTTGATTCCACGTTGCTTTTCTTTCGACTATGCAGGCGTGAAGTATTCGGCAAGTCTATCAGAGATTTTGCAGCATTAAATTTAACGAAAGTATAAAACAGAAAGTGAAAATTACGATAGAAAGAAATGTTTCTTTGTATTAGTTTAAGTTTAAACCCAGCCAAGGTAAAACAATGGCTGTACGGCTCAGTCAATAAAAACCTACCTGCCACTGAGGCAGCGATCATCTGAATGAAAATGATACTGCTATCAGTGTATCACTTTATCTTGTTATTCGGCGATGAAGATTCATGTTGAAACACGTTTACTAGCTAATAACGTGCAAATTTTGAACACTCTCATTGGTCAGATCATTTCTAAATTGACCAAGGACGCGTATTCTGACATTAATGTCAAAATGTTTTGTGTTCACAAGTTTTACGTTAAATCATGTTTTAGAACTGTGTACGTGTTTTGGACCAAAAATCATTACGAAAATGCAACTTGTCCATTTTTTAGTAACAGGCTCCTTGAAAATGCATCTAAAACTGATTTAAACTTTTGTCTATAACGTTTTCAAATAAAGATAACGGTACTAATACGTTTATTGAGCATATGGCGATAATCTGGGCTTCAGTGAAGTTTTGAAGCTATTGTTCCAATTCTTGTTTTAAGGTGCTAGGATGTCTTTATTTTTCTCCCACTTGAACACATTTAACATAGTCTTAGAACCTTTTCCCATATGAAAGTCATTTACTTGCCATTGAAATATATCTGCTATACCGTCAGCTCAGTGGCAGTCTTCTCTCGTCGCATGAATAAGCAAGGCTACCAGTGCATCAATCTGGAATAATCTACTAAGCTGTAAAACGACATCCCTGAACAATGCTAAAGGAGTCTGCGTTGTGCTTTTAAGAGCAAATAGCCCTTGAAGTGTCCGCTTATTGCAGGTTTTGTACAACAAAATGGCTCCGAATATTGGTGTCCCGGTCCGCTTAACAGAGAAGTCCGCTGAATTCAGGTTTATTTTACAGTAAATGTGGAAGGAAAATTTGAGGACTCAAGCTGGTGTTCACTTAAGAACGTTCGTGCTTATTGTTTCTGCGCATCCTTACTGCGCACGCTAATTCACACGATATGTCATCTATGAGAGCGCGCGCTAAGTAATACAATGAACAATGAAAGGGCAGATGGCCATTGCTAGAGCTTTGCCTGGATTTAACGACCTTGGACGTTCGGTGATCCCTACTTTTCTTTCCAGAAACAGATTTTATTGACAATTATCTCCACATTGTCCAAAAATGAACAAAAAATCAATGTGGGAAGTTCAAGATTTCTGTCAAGATTTCTGTCCGCGGGACATCGAGTCCTGCCATCTTTCGGCTCAAAGGCGCGTGAAACTATGGTCGCTAAATGCGAACTTGTTCTTTAAAATCTCACCAGCTGGCTAAATTCACCTAATAGATCCACTTAAACAATATGTTGCAGTGAACATTTCACTTCAAAGATCTAATTGCAATATTTTTGGGCTTGCAGACACTGTGGCCTTATTCGCTAACGGAGCCTGATTTTTTCGGATTTAGGGTGTTCTTGGGGGCATGTTTTCTCCAAAACGAAGTCCGTGATCCCCCCCTTTTTTTACATTTCTGACACAACTAACTCATCATCTTACAGTGGTAAACGTCTCAGAAAAAAATCAATATTGGAAAATTTTCGCGCGAACGTCCTTAATAGAGGGTGTCCATTTAATATGGGGTCCGCTTAATACATGTTTCACTTTACCTTGTTCTTGCGGTTGATGAAATAATCGCAAGATAAGTATTGCGCTTTCCTATGTGACAAGATTCTTTGAGCTTCATTTTAGTAAAAACAAGTTGTCCCCTGCAATAGCTAACAGTACATCAAATAAGCTTATTGCAGTTAGATAGTGTCTAGGTTGTCCGGTGAAATAGCGTCATGAATTCATGTTAATTTTGTTATAAACTTAACATGAGGTAAACGCTAAAACAGGTTCGGCAGATAATACATTTTACAACCGAAATAGTTTGATAAATAGTCACGTAGCTCTTTTCATACGGGCATAGGTTATTTTTAGTTGTTTCCCCATCAGTTTTTTTATAGCCCCAGTTACGTTTTCAGTGACACAGGATTTCCACGAGTCTGAACTAGCCTCAACTGGTGAAAACGTTCTGTTAAAAATGAAAAGCAAAGCATTTCCTTTTTCTTTTCTGTGACTACTTTACAACCGGAACACTAGTTTTACATGATGACATGTATAAGTCGCATCATAATGCCAGCAATGCATCATTTCATCTGGTGTTAACTAGCAATTATAACAAGTCTTCAAAGCGGGTTGTTTTACTCAAACTGAGACCAGATTGTTCCTTCGCAAATTAAAATTAAATGATTTTGCGAGAGCGTTGGCACTTAATTATTCACCTTCCTGCTTTTTCATCAGTTGAAACTGTGGAAACTTTTTTGGAATCATTCGGGTACAGGGGGTTAACTTATCAACAATGAAAATAGCTGACCTGTGCCTTTGAAATAACTCAGCGCTTGGGATGTTTAAGAGGAAATCAATACGCTAAACAGTAAAACAAAATAGAATCCAATGTAAGCATATAAAACTGATCAAAACGAGAAAACACACACTTACTTGCCACTGTGTTCACAACTGACTTGAAGATACTTCTTCCTACACTGTAGTTTATCAAACTTTAATTTCATATCCAAACTGTTGTTTGTTGATGAACCTCTCGTCAGAACAAGTTTGAAGGACGAAAGATATATGTGATTTTAATATTTATTCTAACATACATTCTTATTGGTTAAAAAGGATTGTTTAGTCGTCGATTTGTCCAATAGGATAAAGTCTTCCATTCCTCGTTTGTTTCAGTGCCACGTTTCATTTTCTTACTTTCGAAGCATTATTTCGCTGCTATTTCATGTGAAGAAACCAAAGTATCTGAAGACTTCAGATCCAACTGCCAGTAATAAATTTGTGCTTAACGAGAAAATAGAGGAGTTTGCCGCATATGCATGAGTCATTTTGTTAAGTGAAAAAAAAAAAAAAAAA